CAGACACACATAGACACAAACATACACGCAAACATACACACACAAACACACACAAACACACACACACACACACAAGTGTACATATGCTCACACAATTCTCGATTCAAACCAGTGATAACACAAATGTCTCGACAGTAAAGCACGACTGTCAGTGTTTGGAAGGCACCCAGGAATGAGACTTCCCTCTAAAATGTCTTTTTGATGGAACAGGCAATTACGTATTATCTGTTTACACTATAAATATATATAAGGGATAATCCACGACGAGGTGTGCATGTATCGAAAAATAATGCACAACACGGGGGCCAAGAAACCCCGACGCGAAGCGGAGGTGCGAAGTGCGTTATTTTTCATTCATATTTTGGGGTAATTCTGTCTCAAAAGTACAACTTTTAGCTTGCACTACTTTTTGTGTTCCTGGAAACAAACGGCAAATGACCGGTGAAATATATGGGTCTGACTAATGCCTGGAACACAATCAGTTAACATGAGATTCATATGGAATGTGGACATTAACTTATTACTCCAGTAAATAGAGATGATCTTAGTAACGACATGGCAACGTTACCTTATTACTCCAGTAAATAGAGACGATCTTAGTAACGACATGGCAACGTTACCTTATTACTCCAGTAAATAGAGACGATCTTAGTAACGACATGGCAACGTTACCTTATTACTCCAGTAAATAGAGACGATCTTAGTAACGACATGGCAACGTTACCTTATTACTCCAGTAAATAGAGACGATCTTAGTAACGACATGGCAACGTTACCTTATTACTCCAGTAAATAGAGATGATCTTAGTAACGACATGGCAACGTTACCTTATTACTCCAGTAAATAGAGATGATCTTAGTAACGACATGGTAACGTTACCTTATTACTCCAGTAAATAGAGACGATCTTAGTAACGACATGGCAACGTTACCTTATTACTCCAGTAAATAGAGACGATCTTAGTAACGACATGGCAACGTTACCTTATTACTCCAGTAAATAGAGACGATCTTAGTAACGACATGGCAACGTTACCTTATTACTCCAGTAAATAGAGACGATCTTAGTAACGACATGGCAACGTTACCTTATTACTCCAGTAAATAGAGATGATCTTAGTAACGACATGGCAACGTTACCTTATTACTCCAGTAAATAGAGATGATCTTAGTAACGACATGGTAACGTTACCTTATCACTCCAGTAAATAGAGACGATCTTAGTAACGACATGGCAACGTTACCTTATTACTCCAGTAAATAGAGACGACCTTAGTAACGACATGGTAACGTTACCTTATTACTCCAGTAAATAGAGACGATCTTAGTAACGACATGGCAACGTTACCTTATTACTCCAGTAAATAGAGACGATCTTAGTAACGACATGGCAACGTTACCTTATTACTCCAGTAAATAGAGACAATCTTATTACTCCAGTAAATAGAGACGATCTTAGTAACGACATGGCAACGTTACCTTATTACTCCAGTAAATAGAGACGATCTTAGTAACGACATGGCAACGTTACCTTATTACTCCAGTAAATAGAGACAATCTTATTACTCCAGTAAATAGAGACGATCTTAGTAACGACATGGCAACGTTACCTTATTACTCCAGTAAATAGAGACGATCTTAGTAACGACATGGCAACATTACCTTATTACTCCAGTAAATAGAGACGACCTTAGTAACGACATGGCAACGTTACCTTATCACTCCAGTAAATAGAGACGATCTTAGTAACGACATGGCAACGTTACCTTATTACTCCAGTAAATAGAGACGATCTTAGTAACGACATGGCAACGTTACCTTATTACTCCAGTAAATAGAGATGATCTTAGTAACAACATGGCAACGTTACCTTATTACTCCAGTAAATAGAGACGATCTTAGTAACGACATGGTAACGTTACCTTATTACTCCAGTAAATAGAGACGATCTTAGTAACGACATGGCAACGTTACCTTATTACTCCAGTAAATAGAGATGATCTTAGTAACGACATGGCAACGTTACCTTATTACTCCAGTAAATAGAGACGATCTTAGTAACGACATGGCAACGTTACCTTATTACTCCAGTAAATAGAGACGATCTTAGTAACGACATGGCAACGTTACCTTATTACTCCAGTAAATAGAGACGATCTTAGTAACGACATGGCAACGTTACCTTATTACTCCAGTAAATAGAGACGATCTTAGTAACGACATGGCAACGTTACCTTATTACTCCAGTAAATAGAGACGACCTTAGTAACAACATGGCAACGTTACCTTATTACTCCAGTAAATAGAGACGACCTTAGTAAGGACATGGCAACGTTACCTTATTACTCCAGTAAATAGAGATGATCTTAGTAACGACATGGCAACGTTATCTTATTACTCCAGTAAATAGAGATGATCTTAGTAAGGACATGGCAACGTTACCTTATTACTCCAGTAAATAGAGACGATCTTAGTAACGACATGGCAACGTTACCTTATTACTCCAGTAAATAGAGACGATCTTAGTAACGACATGGCAACGTTACCTTATTACTCCAGTAAATAGAGACGATCTTAGTAACGACATGGCAACGTTACCTTATTACTCCAGTAAATAGAGACGACCTTAGTAACAACATGGCAACGTTACCTTATTACTCCAGTAAATAGAGACGACCTTAGTAAGGACATGGCAACGTTATCTTATTACTCCAGTAAATAGAGATGATCTTAGTAAGGACATGGCAACGTTACCTTATTACTCCAGTAAATAGAGACGATCTTAGTAACGACATGGCAACGTTACCTTATTACTCCAGTAAATAGAGATGATCTTAGTAAGGACATGGCAATGGGGGAAGCTTTCTAAACGTAGTCCTGTCCGAGTCCGGCCCAATTTGACAGTTACTAACGTTTTGGTTAGCGCATACATTTTTAGACCGGTGATTGCTTATGTTACGATCACATCATAGCCGCGCAGTTATCGAAAGTTAATCAACACCCCTCAAGCCAATCAGAATTGAGTATTCACCCAGGCCATATATATATATATTTAATTTTTTTAATTTTTTTTTTTTTTAATTATTCCTTGCTCAAAGATAACATAGAGGAATCCAAGTGACTGTCGCTGTTGCAAGTCTGCCACTACTGCAGTATGCATCCCCAACCCCCCACCCTGGCCCAGCTTGCTGGGCACCGGAGCCGCAGTGTTCTTCTTAAAGAGATCATTAAGCTCTGGGGGGGGGGGGGCAGTGGTGGGGGGAGGATTTGTGTGGGTGGGTGTGGGGGTGGCGGTGGGGGGAGAATCTCACTGCAAGCACTTGCATGCCGCCCAGTGGTATCACTTTCCTTCTACAAAAAAACAAAAAAAACGAGCTGAACTATCTTTATATCAACAGCCTCAGATTCATAGACAATAATATTTTTAATCTGATTCAAATATTGCAATGACGAATAATACTATATAATGCTCTCATTCCCTTTTCTTTATACTTACAAAAAAAAGGTTTGGAATTAAAAATAAACAGCAGAGGCCAGGTTTGGTGTGTTGTGGGATTTTGAGCAAATGTCTGTTCAGTATTATAGCGCTGTATGTGTATAGTGTTGCTAGATTGAATACATAAAACCAGCAAGTTGAGGAATTCATTCACTAAATTAACATTTATATAATAGACCTTTTGTGTCATCATCACAATGAATGCTACTAAAATACACAGTCTTGGATAAGAGCCCAACTTATTAAGGAACTAGCCGAGTCATGGTGTTCTGCTTCTTTGAAAAGTGCTGAGGTTAAGTGTGGAAAATTACATAACAGATGTTGTTAATTAATGGCTTGCGATAGTAGTCACAAAAGCAGCCAAGATAATGCCAACCAAACAGCAAATACTGACCTGTACAGATTGCAGAGTGGTGAAAAGCAACAAAGCGCTCTTTTTCCAACCGCCCCCCCACCCCAAAACAAAAATACAGAAAATAAAGGGTAGCTCAGTCACTGAGCATTCACTGAACCCTTGGCATTTACACAATCCTCATCCGCTATTTAAGATGCAGCTAACTCTATGCAATCCCCCGAAGTCCAAAGACAGAGCAACCAGAGAATCGAGGTTTGACAAATCTGAAGCATGTTTGGGCTACGATCCCCCAGTTATCTCAACTTAATTGCTTAATAGGTAGAAGTGAAATAACGAAGGGGGGGGGGGGGGGGGTGAGGAGGGAGGGGGGGGTGAGGAGGGAGGGGGGGGGGGTGGGGGGGTGGGGGCGGCGGGCGTGTAATTTCATTGAAATTAGTTTTGAATTTATCGTGACAGTTGCGTTCCTCCGATAAGAGTTTGAGAGCGCGGCTGATAGGGGCCGTTCTATTACTGATGTCTATCTTGAAAAGCTCAGACTCCACAAATCAAAGACAATGAAAGATGGGCTCCCTTGACAGCGCCAGACGCGAGCTGAGCTGATCCGGTCTGACCAAAAGGACGGCTAATGTCTTCTGATGTGTATGCTGGTACATGCATTTTAACTAGCGCAGCATTTTCGGGTCAGTGTCCATGTCATTGGATTTAATTGTTCGATTTATTTAATTATTTCTTCCCCCTGTGAAGTGTAACCGCGTGGGACGTGTCGATACCTCGCTGTATACTTCTGTATTCCTCACTTTCCTTTGTTTTTCTCCTCATCCGCTTTACAACAGTGTACCGTGTCAGTGTCTATGATCCTTGCCAACGCCGTAGCCTACCTAGCGAATGCACAGAAGATGAACCCCCGGACTTATGATGTGCACTGTTTGCCTTCATGGTTAATGCATAGTGTATGATAATGTGGTCGCCTGGTGCCCCTGGTGCTCTTGAATTAAACAAACCGCTATGAAAGGAAGAGACGACTTCAGAGGAAGATTGTTTACGGGCAGCGGTGGCGAATGTTCCTGTATACACCTTTTGGTGGACGCTCTTATCCAAAGCGCCTTACAATACGTAAAGGCGCGTGAGGGCGTACATTTTTAGCATGGGTGGTCCCAGCGGGAATCGAAACCCCTGACCCCGGCAACGTTAACGCCATGATGCTCTACCGGGTGAGCTAGTCAGGAGGACCGCAACGTGTTCAGTAAGAGCAATGGAAACGACATTTAGTTGGGACAGAATTGCATGATTTATTCAATGGGCATTTTCAATAACTTATTGAAAATGACTTGCTTCTTATAACCGGAATAAATAACCCATGGCCCACCAGACGCTTGGTGAAAACCCAATATTAATCGTAACAAATCTGTCTTTTAAAAGCACCCCTTTAGACACATTCTGTCACAGAGGAAAGCTAAGTCTCTCCCTTCCAACCGCCGCCGCCAACCACTGTCCTCTGACAAGCACGACGATGTAATGCTTTCCCACACTGCCATTGTAAATCTACACAACGGTCCACTGTATAATGTGTTGCTAAACTGCTGATCGAACCATTTCCAAGACAGTTCACAAGTTCCATCATTCACCAACTGGGTTTGTGTGTGTGTGTGTGTGTGTGTGTGTGTGCTTGCATGCGTGCGTATGAATAAATACTGTTTCTAAGGGCGGCAAGTGGCTGGATTCAAGTGATGATCGTCAGCAGTTTATTTTATTCTCTGATGTTGGTACAATGCTATTTCACAAAACGAGCTGAGCCAGACACTTTTTTGTGTGTGTGTGTGTGTGTGCAGCCGATCAGCTATTCTATTGTCCTTTTGAGACTGACGATATTGAGTTTTCCGAAATATATATATACAGTAGCCTAATGCCGCCGGCCAAGTGTTAAAGTGCACGTGTGTGTCGCTGTGTGTGGTGGCGGGAGTATGGAAGTACAAATCAAAAGTAGTGTTTAACCTTTTTCGTCTCCGTAAAATATAAATCTTGTGTAATGTAAGCAACCCCTCGACACACAGCTGCCGCCGCTGATTAATGGCGACCCCGGATGCTCATAGTGGGTGCTATGTATTTGGTAAAATGTGTGGAGTCCTATCTGGAATCCCTCCCTCACCTTTCTTAAAGTATTATTCACAGTCATTAACTTAAACGTTTCTTCGTGTTCACCGTTCTATAGGGACGGAGATATATGCGAGAAAAGCCGCACAACTGCTGTAATTACTTATTGATGTGGGTACGAAAATTTATGTTTTTACATTTGTCCTTTAGACCACTGGAAAAGGGTGTGTGTGTGTGGGGGGGGGGCGGTAGAAAAGTTAAGTACCTCCAGTCTGTTCAGAGCAATTAAAGCGGGCGGGGGGCGGTGGTGGTGGGGGGGGGGGGGCGGTTTCTATACACTTTCTGTCTTGACCGCAATTGAAAAACCTTTTTGGTTTATTATATAAATAAACAATACATTGGAAATCACATAAAAAAAGAAAAAAAAAAACATATTGCCTGTACACCAACAGATAACTGTAAATTACCTCTTTCAAAAAAATAAATATAGAGATTTTTTTTTCTCCAGCGCAATATGTTTCTCTCTGCGACGACTTGCCCTCTGCCGAAAATTAAATGTTTGATACGCTGACATACATAGAGGATTACAATGCTGAGGATTAGGCTTAACCAGCTAAGCATACCTAATCACCACATGCTAAACAGGATTGGGTGGCTGTATTCAGGTGCTCAACCTGTTTATTTATAACAGCCGTGGCGACCCTCCTGGTACCGCCGTCCTCCGCGCTGGTCCGCACAAGTTTAACCCGGGTCACCGCGTGGACGGTAATAATGGAGAGTCCTGCGAGGAGAGGGCCATTTATCATCCACGGCCTCGCTATTGGGCCGTGTCACCAGCCTGGATTGCTACAGGAATCCAGAATGAATGTGGAGCTATGGCTTCTCGGTTATTAAAAGGCAAGGAGGTTACATTAAACACTAGAAGGGGTTTCTTGTTCCTCTGTCGAGGGGGGCCATTTTGTGTTGTGCTGCAGGAGACAGATGGATAATACAAATGCTGGCAGAAATAGGGGCTCGATGCGGCTTTTCGCGGTGGCTGTTTGCTGAGGCTTATCAGATTTATTGTACCGATTGCCAAAAGTTCTGAAATTCTGGTCATAGTCCCGGAATTGGTGAATGAGGAGAATCAGTAATATACAGGGCAAGACTAAACAAAACAAATAATACCCACCATATAGTAGTCATAGTTCATCCCTCAGTAATAAATAGCCTTAGTAATAAATAGCTACATATCGGTTGCCGTCTCCATCTTGCATAATTGGTCACTGTAAGTGGTGGGACAAGCTTTGGAAATGTATTCAAACTGGTGTTGAGACTGGTGTACGTACATCAAAGTGATGTACATACATGTCAGTGCAATAGATGGAAGCGTCTGATTGGTGCTGCAGTGTAAATATTAGATCGCCCTGATACACATATCCATTAGTGTTTACATATCTTGCTTCAGAGATCGAGCAGGACGTAACACGCTGTGACAGCTATAAAATAAAAGTCCAAACCAACCTTGCCTGTGAGCAAGTGTTCATCAAGTCTTTCAGTTTAATGGCACACACATCCTAAAAGAGATGACAAGCCTGTTCCTTTTTTCATGATCTTGAACAAAATATAATTTCATGCTGGATTAACCTAGGTAAAGATAGTTTTATATTTGATATTCGCCAGACATTCGGTTTTTAACTCACAATTTCTCATTGACTGAGATGTTAATAATATTTGAATGTTAAAACCACTGATTAGAGAACATTATTTGTGAAAATTGTTTTTGACGTGATTTTTCTTATAATTTTTACTATTACACCACGTCTATAATGAAAACTACAATACCTAGACCCACCAGGACTGGATTATTTTATGGACCCCAAAGACTATTTATAATCTTGTTTCAGATTTGTAAAACCTTATGTCTATTTGTGAAAACAAACATACATTGGCTTTTAGTAATTTCTACCTATGAAGTCCACATTAGACCAGGTTTAGAATGAAAACCACAATACGTATACCCGCCAAACCTGGACTGGATCATCATATGGAACCTATAGACGCTTGACAACCATTATTTTTAAGATAATTACTTTAAATTCAAAGTAATTTAGTTCAATTCGGCTTTCTTCAACACCTTCCTGACAACCGACAGATAGATGGATAGAGAGAAGAGAAGGAACTGAAGATGGTCCAAAAGAGAGAGACTGGTGTTTCTGAGGGAGGAAATAATACTAAAATAGTCTAAAACTATGAAAGGGTTGTCTAGTTTATAATCTAAATATTATTTCAGTTTTCCACTGAACGTTCCTTTAGTTTCTGTGTTACTATAATGGTAAAGTTTCAGGAAAGAAACTCCTCCTCATTAGAGCCCTGTTTCCAGTCGATTAACAAATGACCTCAAAACACCCTTCTCATCTTTGCTTGGGTGCATTTGTACACATATAAAAAAACATATGACTACTTTGCTTGCTGGCATCAGATCTCAGAAGAACATTTTATTCCATATAATCCAAAAGTATTTCATTTGAATATTGCTGAGAGCCAGGCAGCTGCCAGGGAGATTGGCATCATGGGAGAGCCGTGTTCACTGGACGAATACAGATCTCTGGCGCATTGCCGAGAGAGTAAAGCACCATCGTCGGGGTTCCTCATGAGGAATGTATTTTCATTCAGTTTCAACAGCCCTTTTTACACAGCCTGTTCAAGGCAGGCATGTCGTGCCTTTATTCTGTCTCGCCTTCTGTATAAACCATGGAATGGTGGGGGGGCTTTGTTTTTCCACTTTTAAGCCGGTAGCAGATGGAGTAAGAAAACCGAATCGACGTCTGTGTTAAAAGGGTGAACCGGCATGGCGGGACAAGGATGTGACTTTTTGACTCTGGCAATCACCCTCATCAAAATTGCTGAACACATTATCCCAGAACACGGGTCCTTGTGGTCTCTCTCTCCTCCACATTCGTCTTTCAGAGACCAGCGCAAATTGACCAAGAAGAACCTAACGTCTCCATCTACGGCGTCTAAGGTCTGCACACATTTCTGCCCCGAACCGCTCCCTGCTTCCACAACGCCGGCATGCTGTGTAAAGCAACACACGGGGAGGGCGGCATTAAGCCGGCTGTGTTTGGTTCTGTGTAAAAAAGCAAAGCCAGTTTAATGACGGACCTTCTTTACGGCTAAATTGCGGGATTTCTGTATAAAAGGGGCTAACATAAAATATTACCATCACTGCATAGGTATGTGGGGGGGGGGGTACATGTTGCTAATGAGGTTGACATAGATGAGTGTTTGAAGAATGAATGTGAGAATTAATTTGCAGTATTAAAACTATTTTAACTAAAACATTGCATTTTCCTTTATTTGTTATTTTTTTGAGTACCTCAATGTGTGGGTGCCTGCAAGTGTGTGTGGGGGATGGTGTGTGTGTGTGTGTGTGCGTGTGCGTGTGTGTGTGTGTGTGTGTGTGTGTGTGTGTGTGTGTGTGTGTGTGTGTGTGTGTGTGTGTGTGTGTGCGCATGTGCACTCAAATGTGGAAGAAGTTTATATGAAAACATAGCCTGTTAGTCAGACAAGCAGTGTTGCTATCATGTTCCACATCATATCATTTCAGGCTGTGGACCTGATTGGTAATGAGGGAAACAGTGAGCCATGTGAGAACTGGGTTCAGATGAAGTCAATGTTTGCGTTCATAAATTTACTTGGGGTAATAACAGACAGGATTTTGCACACGGTAGCATTAGTCAAAGCTATGTGTGATTTTCCCTTCAATGGGGGTGGAGAGGGCACCCCTTTCCCACCAATTGAAAACGATTATGTCTGTCTGGATTTTTGGTTTACTTTCCGGATAGCATTAGCCTCTACACATTGTGCTGAATATAATAAGATAATAGAAGGGCCCTTACCCTCTTGAGTCTGTGAATCAGAGGCAAAACTATGTTGATGTGCTGAACTCAACTTTCAGTTAAATGCTGACTGTAACTAGTATCAACCGTCGTATCCTTTTAATTTGAAAAACTCAATGCCATCATACACTTGCTGATCACCATCACGTGAGAGCTTTACAAGTAAAAAAACCCGCAAAAATCACAATGGTCTTTATTTTTTTTTTATCTCATATTCATTCTCCTGTGTTATTTTACCATTCTTGCTATGTTGGAGCAA